CTTACTATTTATGTTGTTTTTATCCCTTGAGATTATTACAAGCAACACTACGATAGCTAACACTGCATGCATATCTGCAGGATGAAGTCCTAGACGTGGAATTGCTGGGTCAAAGGGCATATGTAGTTTTAGTTTTGAAAGCTAGTGCCAATTTGCTCTCCCTGAAGGTGAGACCAATTTATACTTCCACCAGAAATTACGTGAGTATCCGGTTCCCCACGTTCCTTACAGGTGAGAGATAAAAACAAGAACAAAACCAAAAAACTCGACCTTCATGAAGTTTTAAGGCCCATTGTCTTGTTATGAATGCAACTGAGTATCTTTTCAGATGTTGAAGAGCTATCTAACATTCCTACTGAAAAAGTGGCCTGTAGAATTTCTGAACCTAATGTATCCCTAAGTCCTGATCAAATGCTTCCCTCTAACACAGTCGCTCAATGACAGGCTCTACCTGAGCATAGTTTCGGATGGTTTCATGATCTTCATTTGCTGAAAACACACAGTGGTTGGTCATCTTGGTCTTGTCACCATCATCTATGCGTGTCCCTCCAGGGGCTGAAAAGAGAAAGGTAATTACAGTTAGGACAATACTGAAATGAGAGGAGCATTCGCAGGACAGATCAATTCCTGCACATCAAGGAAAACAATCAAAGTTGATGAAAATCTAAGAGTAATATAAAATTCTGTACAATGATATGCATGTGTAGATGTACACAGGCTGTTATGTATTTATGTTTTTAATATAATTCAAATTGGTTGTTCCCTTTTGTGCTCCCACCATAGTGTATGAGTTTTACATCCTTGCCTTCGCTAGATCCTATCAGAATGAGTCTGATTCATTCCAAAGTATATCCTTAACTAGGGAAACTAAACAATCACATTTATTTGGTAAACTTCATTCAGTTATTCTCAGTGCAGTTCCTGACCAGATCTAGCTCTTCAGTAGACTTCGTCGGTCTCTACTGGAGTAGGTATTAAAACTGTTCCCTCCTCCACTAACTTGATTATCCACGCAAGTTTGGACAGTATTTATTGCGACTCCTTGCCATTTGTATTTGGTCACCCAGCAGCTGCATTGGCTAGGAAAGAGTGTAGATTATTCTCTCATCTTTCCCCCACCGTGATTTCTACATGGAATCATGGAATAAATGGATTAGAACAAAAGAATGCTATTTTCCCACAGCTCAGCTTTCCACATTCAAAGGTTCTTTCTGTAAGTTTTAATTGGTTGATTAGAAGAACAGAATCAGAACAGCAGGTATTTTTGTTTTCTGATTTTACTTCATTTTAGTTAGGGTAGAAAGTCTGAGCAAGCCAAGTTAGACTAATATCTTTCATGCACTCAACAAATATTTATAGAGTATATACTTGTAAGAGGCACTTTATTTTCCATTTGTTTATTTGTTTAAGTGTGTAATTGCCTTGATTTAACTTATGGTTTCAGGTCTTTAGATGGAAAGGTCTATACATAGCCAACTTTTTCCAGACTCCAGTATATAGTTTTAGAAGTAAATTAGTTTTTAGAAAAGTCGGCTCCTCCAGAAGTCTATTTTCATTCAATTAATTTATACATAACATTTAATTAGCTTTTTGTAATGAATCCAGCCACCTGGAACAAAATTTTATTAAGATGGTAATCTTCTAAAAACTCTGGGCTAATGATTCCTCACTGATAAAAGTTACATAACTGAAAAGTCTGGTTTTGAAACTATAGTCTTTTCTCTTAAGAAGTTTCAAAAATTACATTCTTTTACAAAAGCAAAACATTTGTTACACATTACCATTGCTACATTAAAAAAATATTTTTTCCCTGATATTGGGACCAATTATTAATTGCCATTTCTAAAACTTTTGGTAAGCCTGAAGTTTGTTTTCAAAGTAGAGGTTAAAAAAAAAAAAAGCACAGTATTTCTTGTATCTACTCTTCAAAGGGTACAACTGAAAGACCACGTAACTGTTGTTGCAAGAACAATGGGAGAAGGTAAAATTTTATGTGTGTGTGAAGAAAATTCTTATGTGGTTGATACATAAACAAAGTGTTCATATAAGAAAAAGGCACCTGAGGGCCGGCTGAGGGGCTCAGTTGGTTAAGAGCTCGCTCAAGAGTTTGAGCTCTGAGCAACAGCGGTTCGAGTCCCAGCCCGAGCTGAGCTGCCAACAGGTGGCAGGATGGCTCAGCTTAAAAAAAAAACCAAACAAAGAAAAAGGCACCTGACTGGCTCCCTTCATTACATGATAGGTCTGGCTTAGGTAGACACGTGGATCTGCACTGCCTGTGCTGACAGTTGTACCAAACATTGTGCTCTACCCTCTTCTTGGATGTATGGATGTAGAGTGAAGGGGTGAAATCTGGGCTGCAGATATAAATTTAATGACCATCATTATACAGATGGTAAATGAGGTCTTGAGATAATCAGTGCAAAGCATACAGATAATTTAATACATATGTGGAGGGGAGTGAGTATGGAAAACCAGGAGAAGTGACATCCAGATGGAGGAGGAGGAAGTCTAAATTATCTCATGTAAGGGAAGAAAGTAAAACATTTCAAGAACTACAGGAGGGTCAACCATCCTGCCAGGAGGGCACTAGGAACTGAAAAGTGTCCATACAATTGGCCAATGAAGCTACGTGTGACCTTGGCAATGGCAAAGAACTAAAATTTGCCAAAGGCTATTTCTGCAATAAAAGTATATCATACAAAAAGCCAATAATCATATCAGAAAATGTTCAATTTTACTATTAAAACTTTTAAATGAAAATAGTCATCATTTACCTGATTGACAAAGATCCAAAGAAACTGACAAAATTTAGCATACCCAACATTGCTAAAAGGGTAGGTAAACAGGAACACCTGATTTTTGAAAAAAATGCTAATTAAAATATTTCTTCGGAAGGCTCTATGGTAGATTAATAGACAAAGTCTGATATAAACAGCTCATCTTCCAGTTCATGAATCCCTTGCTAAATATATAAAGATATAATCAAATAAAAGCACAACTATATGTGTATACAGATATCGATTGTATTGTTGTTTATAATAATGAAAACTGAAAACTTAGCTTTTATGCTCAACTTGAATTAACTACAGTGATAATGTGAAATCTTTATAAGCAATAACAGCAAAATTAATTCAGTATGCAGTGAAAACCAGCAGTACAGATCAAAAGGGGACCGATGGTAAGTGGGGCCGTGTACCAAAATAAATACAAGAGCACAGAGGAAGGAATCAAAGGGCGGTTCTCTCTTAAAATGGAGGCATGTATACACCTGTCTTAAAGTAGGTTGGCTTAAACAGCGTTTCTCAATGAAAGGCACTAATATTGCATTGGGCCTGGCACTTTTTCATTGTATTGAATGTCCCTTGCATAGCAAAGTAGGTGGCATACCTAGGCCTTTGTAGGAACCCAAACACTTCTACACATTTGCAAATGTCCCCAAGGCAGTAGGAAATCACTGACCATTTCAAGTGACTTATGGTGATCACAGGAATTAATTATGAAAATTAAGTTCTACGAATAACTTTGAAAGAAAAAATGGGTGGTTATGATACCTAATAAACATTTAGATCAACATACCATGCCACCTAAACAGTATTCTGAAGCCCTCTTCCCTGATGTCTCTACTCTGTAAGATAGTGTTTCTAATAATTTCCAAACTTCAATCTTTAATTCTTTTAGCTACATACTCACACTGACAAAGATGTTTTTATAACTAGATTAAAACTACATTTCTTAGACTTTTTAAAAATTTTTATGGATGAAATGGCATTTATCAAAACACTGGTAGTTATATTTAACTTTGTTGACACAGTTACATTTCCCTGCACCAAAAAAACGGGTGAGGTTCAAAAGAAAAGTTGCCATAGCATTTGGGGGTTAATTAAATATACTGGAAGGAACTAGAAGACATACGCAAAGTTACACTCTACTGCAGAAATCACTCCTCCTGTGTCAACTACTCTGGAAATACTTAAGGATTAGGGACACATGGGAAAGTTGGCTTCTAGCTAAAGCAAAGTGGCCAAGTGTGTTGTAATATCAACAAAAAACCCCTCAATTCTATGCCTCTCTGAATAATCATTTCACAACCACACTAATACCATTCCAAATTGTAAATCTAGGTAAATATGGTAGAAACTCCCATTTGTACTTTTTATCAACTTTCGTAAATGTAAGCTTATAAAGGTTCTACCTGGTAAAGAAAATACTTTGATAGAATTAAAAGTACATATACGACAAGAAGATGCCATAAGGCATGGCGTACCAAGCATACTGCCAGCCACCAGGATATCAAAGAGTGTGTCTGCATAGCGACGATAATCTAATCTTGAGCCTGTGGAGTCCAGAAACTTGGCTACAGCTTCAAGGTCATCACCAGCTTCATTAAGCCCCTGGACGAGTGTATCCCTGAAGACTGTGGGTTCGAATTTCTCTTTTTCATCTAAAAGAAAAAATTGTAAAATTATTCCTTTACATACATAATATTCCCAAATACACCATTCATTTCCTTTGTTCACTGTTCTCTATTTGATAGTGTAATTACTTAAAAGGAAAAGGAAAATTAAGTTTTTCTACTAGATTTCCATGTTCTGAAACCCCTTGTTTAAACATTTATTCAAACAAATAATTCATTCCAGTCTCTAATACATCATAAAAAAAATAAATAAATAAAAAAATTTAAAAAATTGATGATTGATCATATGTGTCATTCATAGGATAGGCCAGTGTAATCCACTAACCCTAATGATCTGAGAAAAAATAAAGTATAACATTCAAAGCTTACAATTTTGTTTCATCTAAGACAGAGGGGAAAAAAAAATGATCCAGGGAGAATTACCTAAAAATAAAGGACACTACATAAAAAATGAAATTAAGATTGGGAGGGAGAAAATAAGGAGGGACATCTTTTTTACATTTTATTGAGATATAATTGACATATAACATCATATTAGTTTCAGGGGTACAACATAATGTATATATTGTACAATAATCACCACACTATGTCTGGTTAATATCCATCATCACACATAGCTACAATTTTTTTTCTTGTGGTAAGAACTTTCAAGATCTACTCTCTCAGTAACTTTCAAATATACAATTCGGTATTATTAATTATAGCTGCCATGCTGTACATTACATCCCCATGACTTACTTGTTTTTTAACTGGAAGTCTGTGCCTTTTGATCACCTTCACTCATTTTGACCATCCCCCAATGCCTGCCTCTGGCACCCACCAATGTGTTCTCAGTACGTATGAGGGTTTTTTTTTGGTTTGTTTTGTTTTTTTAATATTTTTATTGGGGAATTGGGGGATGGGAACAGCACTGGGGAATTGGGGGAAGGGGAACAGACAAGTTGCTGTCCTTTTTTTGTTCTTCAGTCTAGTTGTGGAGGACGTCGCTTCACTGGCCCAAGTTGGCACCATTATTGCGCTCTTCCCGGGCGAGGCAGATCAGTCGCTGGCTTCTGGACGGCCGCTCACTGCGGCTGCTGGCCGCTCACGCTGGCTGCTGGCTACACACGGTAGCCCATGGCAACCCACTGCAGCAGGGGCTGCAGCCTACGCCGTCGCCGGCGACTCACGGCAGCCCAGCTCCAGGTCGAGCTGTTGTTCAGCATCTTAGCTGTGGAGGGCAGTGTCACTGGCCCTCATATGTGGGATCCGAACCGGGGCCCTCAGGCGTCCCAAGCCAGCTCTTAACCATCGCGCCACTCGGCCGGCCCAGGGTTTGTTTATGTTTTGTTTTGTTTTTTTAAGACTTCATACATAAGAGAGATCATATGGTATTGCCTTTCTCTGTCTGACTTATATCACTTAGCATAATGCCTTCAAAGTCCATCCATGTTGACACAAATGGCAGGATTTCCTTCTTTTTATGGCTGAGTAATAGCCCATTGTATTGGGTTGTCGGAAAAGTCATGACGTATTTTTTTCTATGTTTTTTGTTGCAAAAATGCGTCATGACTTTTCCGACAACCCAATATATATGTACCACTTGTTCTTTATCAATTTATCTATCGATGGACATTTAGGTTGCTTCCATATCTTGGCTATAATAAATAATGCTGCGGTAAACATAGGGATGCATATGTCTTTTTGAGTTAGTGTTTTTGTTTTCTTTGGAAAAATACCCAGAAGTGGAATTGCTGGATCATATGGTAGTTCTATTTTTAATTTTTTGAGGAAACTCCACACTGCTTTCCTTAGTGGCCGCACCAATCTGCAGTCCCATCAACAGTGCACAAGGGTTCCATTTTCTCCACAACCTCACCAAGTTGTTATTTCTTGGAGGGACATCTCTTTTTACAAGATAAATTATTCTACGGTACTTAAATATTTAATATGTAGCATGAGCTATAATGTGGCTATATAGCTTCAGAGCAGATGTTCTCACCCCTTGACGCCCTTAAAAAGTACTGAGGGTTCTAAAGAGGTTCTATGTGTGAATACATACTTTATAGAAATTAAAACAGAAAATAAAAAAAAAATCAGTAAGAAGAGAGGCACTGTTCTACATTTCTGCAAATCTCTCTAATGCCTGGCTTCATAGCAGACAGATGGAGTCCTCTATTTGCTGCAGGCAATCTGCTGTGCAATATCACACATCCTCCAGCCTCTGGAAAACTTTATTGTAAACTCATGAGAGAATGTGTGAAAAGGGCAAATAATATCTTAGTATTGTTTTGAAAATAGTTTTGATTCTATAGGTCCCCTGAAAGGGCCTCAGAAGATGTAGGAATATAGACATTATCTAGCTTTCTATCCTTCCTATCCTCTAGAGCAGCGGTTCTCAACCTTCCTAATGCCACGACCCCTTAATACAGTTCCTGATGTTGTGGTGATGCCCAACCATAAAATTATTTTTGTTGCTACTCTATAACTGTAATTTTGCTACTGTTATGAATCATAATGTAAATATCTTTTTGTTTTCCAATGGTCTTAGACGACCCCTGTGAAAGGGTCGTTTGACCCCCAAAGGGGTCGCGACCCACAGGTTGAGAACCGCTGGTCTAGAGAAACTTCTTGTTGAAGGTCAGTTTGGAGCCAGGTCTTGAACCAAGTTAAAGGTCATATACTGCTGAAAAGAAGTGAAGATGACAAACTGGAGGTCAGGTGAGTCATTAAAAAAACGACTAAATTAAAGGGAAGGGATCTCAGAATAAATTCAAAGTACTTCACCTTTTTTTTTTCTCTCTCTCTCTCTTGCAGAGAATGTGGGGAGAGAGGGACAAAGGGTGAACCAAAAACCTCAAAAACATTTCCTCTCATAAATATCTTTAGAGAGATAAGTGGATATTACATCTGTGAAAAGGGAGGAGAGGGAGAAAGAGGAGAAGAAAAGAATATAAACAAAGAAACATTTCATGAATAGCAAAGAGTTCTTCGAAATGAAAAATACAATAGAAACAGTTAAAAACTGAATACAAGAGTTGCCCTAGCAAATAGGAGCAAAAGGATAAGAAAAAGGGCAGGTCAAATAACAAGCATAATAAAAAGAGAGTTTAAAAAAAAAAGGAAAGGGAATTACTTAAATATTCCAATTCTCACAGAATTGAAGAATGAAAGTTTCCAAATAAAGGGCTGTCTGGGCCCCCAGCACGAGGAGTGAAAGTGGACCTACGAGGTGCTCTCATTATCACGGAAGCTCAGAGTGCCAGGAATAAAGCCACGATCTGAAGTCTCAGGGGCAAAAGAAGGAATCACATATTGAGTATCAAGAAACAGGAATACCATAACCAGAACAAACTTCTTCCAAATTCCAAGGGAAAACTATTTTCCAATCTAGAATTTCAATTAATCAAACTATTAAATCAAGCATAAGAGCAGAAGAAACACATTTTGAGACATTCAAGGCCTAAAAAGTTATATTTCTCACACACTTTAACAAAGAAACAAACTATTAAAGCAGACATTCCACCAAAATGAGAGAATAACATGATCTTATGACCTTATTAAGTTGTGAGATTCCTGAAAAAAGAGAAAAAATACAAGAGACAGGCCACTCTTCCAGAGAGTGGTGAAAGGACAGTTCAAGCATTTAAGGTGACAGCTAGACAGCTGGCCTAGAGAGCAAATGGACTAGCAGAGTGTTTTCCAATATAATATAAAGGCAAGAATTCCTTCAATATAATACTGTCAGAATTCCTAGCGTTTGTATTAACAGATTTATATAACAAAGGGGAAGGTGAGGGCTGACTAGTTTGAAGGCACAGAAAGTAAAACTAACAAAAAAAATTAAACTTATTAAATTCAAAGGTAAAATGATGCTCAGAAAAAGAAAAGTATTCAAATAGTTCAGCTATAAAGAGCATGTGCAAAGTCACAGTAATGTGAACCCTAGGCAGTGGTCTAGCTCAAACTGCGATATAACGCAAGGCTAGACAAGGAGGGGAGGTTTGCAGGTGGGTGGGGGCCGTGACAGGGCCGAAACCCTCATCTTCCATAGTAGGAAGTGCATATATAATACCTCCAACAGAAAATCAAGAAATAGCCATATAAGAATGTTATTTGGCTACATGAATGTAAGTGTTAAAAGAAGGAGTTAAAGAGTAGAAAGCGTTCCTCTGGAGAGCAGACTTGTTATAACATGCCTTACAGAACTGTTTGACTATTTAAACCATGTGCACGCATAACTTTCATACAATTAAACACTACATTTAAAAACCAGACCACACCTGTCTGTTTCGTACAGACTAACTACTTATAGAGGGTTCACAGAAGGGACGTGCTGCAAGGGTTAACACCACCGCATCAGAACCAGAGGACAATGACAGTCCTAGTACCAGTCAGAGTCACGCAGCATAAGATACCATAAAGACAGATGTAAATGAACTCGAACACTATGTGTCATGAACAAGAGATAAAAGTCCTTTTGATGCCATAAGCCAAACATTATGCATGCAGCCAAGAACATGCAAATGTCGACAGCAGAAAAAATATAATTAGGGTCTTGTGTAGGGAGGAGGAAGAGAATGGGAACTCGAGAGGAACCGACTATCATGAGCTGGAGGAGCGGGGTGGGTCACTGGCTCTGAGCAGGAGGAGCTCGCTGGCAAGGAAAGTAAACAGCATCCTTTATTCAGGGCCTAGTCAAAGGGTAGTTCTCCTTCCCCAGTGGAGAAAAAGTTCCCTTTTCTTGTGAATACAAGAACATGAGAAGTAAAGACCACAAGCTATTTATTAAGTTTTGCGGCCAGCTTCCAAAATCAATTGAGGCCATCCCCACAATGGCACCCCAACATGCTTGGATGTTGACTCAGGTGACAAACTTTGATGATTTGAAAATTATAAACTCAAGGCATTGGAAAATATAAGTTGGTAAATAAGGTAAAACCCAGACTATGCTACGAATTCATGCAGTGGACTTCGTTTTGAATCTACAACTGAAAAACTTGTGTTTGTAAAAAGGCCTTCGCCCTCAGTTATACTTTTCCAAAAGATTTGCCAAGGCAGAGGGAAGGCAAAAGGAGGAAGACAGCGTGCCACGGCCAGAGACAGCTTAGCCATGAGCAATAATGCATTAGGTCAAAACGATTACTTGTCACTTGGGAATCTTAAAAATCATGGGTCATGATTTTTAAGGATTAATAACTCTTTTGCAGGCTGAAACACAAAACTCCCTCCTGCTACGATGGGTGTCCATCCAGAGGAATACCAAATTCCTGTGCAGGAAAATGGCAAGAACACTGATGGCAGTTTGAGGGAACAAGACAACATTTTATTCAAAGGGTTTTTTTTTTCTTCTTCTTCTTCTTCATGTGAAACAACAGTATCTGTAATTTCATATTTCCTTTGGGGACAATCTAGCAGAAATACTGACAAAATCTTAATAAACATATGCCCGCACTTCGGAACTTCTACTTGGCAGGTCAAACCTCCCTTGAAGTGGGAAGTATATAATTAGGGTCTCAAATATACACTGTGTTGGTGAATGACAAGGGTGGCACTGATGAAGAGTTAGTCTCAATAGCCCTTACACTGACATAGAGAAACGGGCCTATTTCTGGCCCTCAAACATGCCTGTAAGTTATTTAAATACAATGCTTTCTCTGGGAAGTCCGGGAACCGGTTAAAACAGCATTGTCCCAAGCTGTTAATTAAGTGTGAAATAACATAACCTACATTCCTTTCTAGAGGTCACTGAGGTATGGTAAGTGAATGAGAACTATCATGGGTTTCCTGACTACCCACACACACATATCTATTTACATATACATATATTTAAACATTTAAAACTTTACTCGATTAGTTGCTAACATCGTTTACTATAAATCTAGGAGTGATTTAAAACTGCTACCTGTTTTAAAGTCTCAGGGATGAATCTGAGTATGTGGCCACTCTGAATCCCTCAGTTTGGTCATTTTTTCTCCTTCTCTTACTTTTACTAATTTTAATCTAACTTCCCTACCATATTTACAGGGAGGTCAATTCAGTTATTGAATATTTCATTTAGCTGAGTATAACAATGGCCCCAGGGACAAATTTTCATCCTTTTAGATTCCCACAAACCACACTAGAAAACATAATTTCTTTGGAGAAAATATAAATAAGGAGTGCATATTTCATAAAGCTAAGATAGTCAGAATGGAGTTCCGGATGATGCATTCTACCATAATGTTGAATTCTGATGTCAAGCAGTAAGAAATACATTTTTGTGCCAACTTGCACATGCAAAAGCATTAGCTTTGCT